TCCTTATTCATTGTCCAACTTCCCATTGTCCAACATGCATATGAGGCAATTGAAAATACTGTGACTTGGGTCAGGTGCACCTTACTCCTCAAAGTGATATTTTGCTCTTGAACACTTTTAAAAGATCTTGTACAACACAGATTTGCTGCTTTCATGAGTGTTGATTGTGGATCCAATCAAAATGAAGTCCTTGACAACTCCATGTATCATGATGTTATGTATTGGTTCAGTGGTGAGGATTTTTGTTTTCTTTCCATTGAGGTGCAATCCATTTTGAAGGCTGTGGTCTTTGATCTTCATCAGTAAGTAATTGCAGTCCTCTTTGCTTTCAGCAAACAGAGTTGTATTATCTGCAAATTGCAGGTTGTTACTGAGTCTTCTTCCAATCCTGATACCATGCTCCACTTCATATAATCCAGTTTCTTGGATTATTTGTTCTGCATACAGGTTGAGTAAGTGTGGTGAAAGGGCACAACTCATGCACACCTTTCGTGATCTTTTACCACTCAGTATTCCCTTGTTCAAGCCGTTTGAACTGCAAGGTTGGTGGTTCAAGCTCACCAGCTGCTCCTTGGAAACCCTATACAGGGTCGCTATGGGTCAGAATCGACTCAATGGCACTTCACAACAACAACAAATCCCCTTGTTCTGTTCTAACAACTGTTAGAACAACTGTCTTGATCTATGTACAGTTACCTCACAATTAATATTCTGGAATACCCATTCTTCACAACGTTATCCATAGTTTGCCTTGATCTACACCAGGGGTGGGGAATGTCTGGCCCATTTGGTCTGGCCCTGCCACGGCAATTGCAGTTCTAGCCATCGTGTTATTGTTGTTGTTATGAAGTGCTGTTGGGTTGGTTCCGACTCATAGCAGTCCTGTATAGGGTTTTCAAGGAGGAGCTGGTGCTTTTAAACCACCATCCTTGCTGTTCAAACTGACTAAATACTTTAGGCTAATTTTTAAGTTGATAATTTTGTGTGGTTCATGAATGATGTTATAAATATCCAAATGACCCTTGGCAGAACGTAGCATCAGGATTGGAGGAAGACTCAGTAACAACCTGCGATTTGCAGATGATACAACTTTGCTTGCTGAAAGTGAAGAGAACTGAAATTACTTACTGATTAAGATCAAAGAGTACAGCCCTGGTCTATATAGTCTAAAACCTTTGCATACTCAATAAAGCACAAGTAAACATATTTCTGGTATTCTCTGCTTTTAGCTGAGATCCATCTGACATCAGTAATGATATCTCTAGTTCCATGCCCTTAAGGCCTTGGCAACCAGTAAACATTCAAAAAAAAAAAAAAATGTTGCTACATGCGCATGTATGAAAAATGGAGGAAGACAAGCTATTCAGGTTCCTGCAGAGTAATTAGGTGGATATCCCCAGAAAGCTTTAAAACGGCATATGAGCCTGCACCCCATGGGTACAAATGCAGTAAGTGGGAGCCACCTCTGGCTGGCCCATGTATAGAGTGACTAGGCTAGGTTCTCATGCAGAACATTACACACATTGGGACAGAAGATTAAACCCTGCAGGTCACAAAAATGGTGACATGCCTATAAAACAAACAGAAAGACACATATCAGTGGGAAAATCCCTTTGTATTTACTGGGAATGCACTGCACAGTCAACTTTAAGTAGAAGGATGTGTGGGTAGATGCAAAGCAATAGTCGCATGTTGTTCTTAAAATGAGAAATAAAGGAAAGGGAGGTGCCTAGTGTGTTTTTCCAGTCCAAATACAAACAGCTGCTTATTTGCAGAGAAGCCATGCCTAAATGCACGGGTAGCAACCCCAGTCCACATGTGTATTGCCACATGTCTCTATGAAGGCCTGAACTGAAACAGCAACAAGATGACACTGTTTTCTTTATTTTAGGCAGCTGTAGTAATGTGATACTTGATATTGCAGATCGTTTCTTATTGGAAAGCCTAAACGTTACGAAGAATCTAAGAGAGATTTTAAAACTCAGATTCGGGTAACCCCCCAAAAGCCCAAATTACTTTTGGCCCAGGTCTTAAAAGATGTTGTTGTTGTCA